AATCCCGTTGAAGCCCTGATTTTTTCAGGCTTCTTCTTTCCAATTGCCTAAATTGGAAAATTTACTGCGATGATCATTCTTCACTTTCAGACCAGTTGGTTTTTTACAAGGATGTAGGCATACGGGCACCCTCTGACTTGTGGGGTGGTGACTTTCTTGCCCAAAAAATTACTCAATTCCCGAATGCCCGATTGTTGAAATCGGGATGCAAATGCACTCAAATTGTGTGAAAAACAAAAACATTCACAAAGATAGTTCTATTGAAAGCTTGCATACTCAATTACCTCTATCAACAGTCTCAATCGAGTAAAATCTAAAATTTATTCAGAGAAAAAGTGTTTCTTTTCATGGCATTTGTTCAGCGATCGGCTGATCAGCAACAGTGACATTTGTCTTTGAAGATGGATCATTTGAACGTGTTACAGAAGCAATCATATATTCGAGACGAATGTCTCGACACACTTGAGACGTTCAAAGAACAACACGAGGCATTGCTAGAAGTCGTACGAGATAGCCTTGGCCACAGCAGACTTGCAGCGTACACTGCAAGCCTTCTATGAATTCAGAAGCCACATAAATAAGATGGTTAACAACACCTACGTACTAGAGGAACACCTCCAAGAAAAATTCAAGAAAGAAATTAAAACACCCCATTGTTAAGACATTCCAAACAGCCCTTTCAGAGCCACCACAAGAAAAAAAGTCTTGGTCTTCATTTGCTTTGATTTGTGTCCTTGTTTTGTTGATAGAAAATTGCGAAAAGAAATAATATCCTTATTGTGGATTTCCATGATACACATTTAGCCAACTCGTAGCTAACAGAAAACTCCAGGTCCTAATAACATTTCAGTAAGTCCTGTTTTGCAAGGCAAATGTCAGAGAAAGTAGCTTACAAGCCTTACAATCTAAAAGGAAAGGCTGAAAACGCTGCGGCGACTGACTACGTGGCGTTTTTGGTGCACCAACAACTGGTACACTTTATACGGCACGATCATACTACACACACATGGTACTCCTTCAGGTGCCAACTCACTGAAGAAGCCACTTAACAGCCTACAGACACCCGGTTGATCGAGCGTCTAATCACACAGAGCTTCATAAAAAGTAGACTGAAACTTTTTTGCGAGTTTTGGAAATCCCATCAACAGTATTATTTTGTAATGTTTTCTTTCAAGTGTCATTGCCCGAATCATGACCATTTTGCCCGAAAAATTACATAATTTTCTGTAGCTGGGGGGCTGCAGCCCCCCTCGCCCCCCACCTCCCAGCTCATATGCCTATGTACAAGGATGACCAAGGTGTTGAACTAGGGTCTACCAAGAAACTCCAGCTCAGTGGACAGAGCAGGACTTGAACCCGTGACCTCCAAACTTTAAGTCTGGCACCCAAACCACTCAACCACACCGCCTCCCTCTGCCTGTTCTACATGTGCAGCTGTATGCGTTCAAGTTAGGTTCTGTTTTACTACCATACTTCGATATTTGACCATTATTAGTCAAAACCTCCTTTCCTTCCATGATGCTTAATTCTCTGCCGAAGGTCAACAAATGCTAATTATGACGCAAAATATACGAGCTTAATACATGTATGTAATCAATCCCATGACTTCAGCAAAGATTCCCCTATAGTGACATAGCTCCTTGATAAAACTCCCCATATTTCTACCTTTGTTGCTTAAATTATGCACGCCTTACCTCATCACTGCATTTCATGCCTTCATCGAACAGATCTCCAAGTAAAAACACAACGTCAGGGTTGAAATGAGCGACAGCCGTTTGAAAAGCCCTTTCCATCTGCCATTCCCTTCTCAGTTTGTCGAACCAGTGGCCATCTTTTGACCCTAACAAGTGTGTATCCGTCAGAAACATTGCCTTTAAAGGCTCAGATCGTCTGTGGTTGTCTTCGTTGTTCATTTCAGGCCAAGAACATTGTAAAATCACGACGTAATATATCAGATATTCACAAAATACGAACAAGCATACAGCAAAAACTGCCACTCTTTTCAGAACTCCTTTGTTGAAGAAACTCAAAGTGCCTGACGACCTCATTATTCAAACAAAAAGCATCTTTTTGTGACAAGTTCACTTCAAATCAATCCTCAATCGAGGACGACCGTATCATAGAATGCAAGCTAGGTGTGGACGTATCCTTACAATATCACTGCATCGTATCGTACATCTTTCTCCATTTCCGACGAACTTCCCACGAAAACGAACACAAGCAAAACAGTCTCTATGTTTCGCTTCACCATACAGAAACCTGCCACTCGAGCTAAGTTCCAAAAATTCCCTCTCACAAGCTCCTTCTCACTGAATACTAGGGTAGTTGACTCAGCTGTTCGACTCAGCTGGCCGACATCTCAGCTAATTGACGCAGCTAGTTGCAAGTATGTTGCAGGCGTTGCAATACCGAGGAGGCGAGGTTACAAAAGACAGGCAACCTCGTTCCCAGGGCTTTCCCTTACGAGGGACGGCGCGAGCCTGCGAGCAGGCTCACTTCTTTGGGTAGGATATTGCGGTATCGCGGGCAAGGGCGGCGCAGTCCTGCGCAGCCGCAATCGCCCGATTCTTCTCTACGGCTTCACCGACTCTCAATTTGCGGCTCCGCCGCCCTTGCCCGCGATACCCTACCCAAACAAGTGGGACGGCGCCCGCTCCCTGCACCACGACTCTGTCTCCTTTTTTTCGCTCCTACGTTTTTTTTTCACACTGCACCCCAACTGAATGCCTGGACGAGGCACGCGAGGTTAGCTCACGCGGAAAGTTTGGTGATATGAACTGCTTCACAGTCGCTGGGCTTATGATTTCACGGAGTTCTTATACAAGAGTGCGCATGACGACAAGGTCCACAAGGACAAGTGAAATCAGGGCAAGATGAATGCTTAGCAGCTAGAGGGAGTTAGAACAACTTCTATACACAGTTTAAATTTATCTTATAGTATTTATCTTTTTATTTAAAAATGGATCATTGGATAATGCAATTCAAGAGTTTTCATTGGCTTACTCAGCATGGAATTACCGTGTATGTAAACAACAGCCTCCATTTGGCGCAAAAATATTCACGGAGGCTTGTCTTTCGACATTATCTGTTCCTCAAAGCTCACAGTTTGCCTCAAGCTACGCTCATGGAAAACTGTTCTCTTCTCGGTACAGATAATATCCAAGCACAACCACAGAGCATATTTTTGCGCCAAATTGAGGCTGTTGTGTTTAGTATTGTTCATTTCAAATATTTTTTCGCAACACGCGCACTTCTGAATATTTAACAATTATTCCCCTCTATGTAGGTGGCTAGTAGTTCATAGTTCGCGGCGAGGTAAATATCAACTACTAGCCACCGACACTGAGGGGAATAATTGTTTTAGTATATACCAAACCATTAGGATAAAATATCCGCAAAAATTGCCTCAGAAGACAAACACTGAATAACCCACTTTTGGCGCGAAATTATGCTTGTATATTTGTCCGCGGACATTATCTGTTCCGAGAAGCAAACAGTTAATGTCCAAGGCCAAATATCCGAGCATATTTTCAAAGTCAAATGAAGGCTATTGTGTTTGTTATCCTTCAATATTTTTCGCAGCACGCGCGGTTCTGAAAATTGGGGATTATTCTCAGCTATTCCCCAGGTTTAGCTGGGGAATGTTCGGTCACGTGACGTGTTTAGACCAATCGCGCACGAGCGAAAATATTTGATAGTTAGAATTAAAGAGCCATTAGTCCATAATCTACAAACATGGTGAGGGTACGCGTAAGTTTTTAAGGCGTTTTTATTTTGCTTCAGTTTTCTATATTTTGGGGCGTTTTTAGTAAAACAATTATTCCACCTACCCTTATTGGATATGAGATGATAATAGCCGAGGTGCGTATTGTATCTAATGCGCAGGGTTCTCAGTAGAAGCTGCCGAATTCCTCCGACTTGAAAGACTGATGTATCCGTCTGTTCCCAGTAGCGGATCTAGGGGAAGGGCCCGGGGACCCGGAACCCCTTATTTTGGGCAAGCAAACCACCCCCCTACCTTAGCTCAAGGTCTGGATCCACCACTGGTTTCAATCCGCAAACAAGGTGTTGTGGTATATGTTAATACTTCGTTTAAATGTTGGTCATTTGGATTGTAACATTTTCTTTCGTGTGTAACTTTATATATATTATATTGATTCAGAAGACACGTACTACGTCTGATTTTATGCTTATGACAACACTTTCAATGCTCCCCAAAATGCATGAAATCTCATCTTTGGCAACCAATAATTTCATGTCGGCCTGGACTCCCCTCCCCCATCCCTAGGTTGGCTTGGCCCTCCAGATCTCGCTTCACGCCACCTGTTATGCGTTATTAGCCGCCTGTCACAAATTCTACCGACAACCCTGAATACACGCTCCTAGAATAATTGTCGAATATTCTGCATGGATCATTAAATCAAGTGGCATCCAAGCAGGACTGTGGTAGTTAAAATTTTTAGAGTTGCTGTTACAATTTGCGAGAAAAGATCTTGGTGAGCGTCCCTTTCCCACCCTAATTGTAAATATATACAGCAGGGTTTCCAGTCAGCTCTTTAAACAGTGAAAGAACAATTTTCTTGGCTACATTTGAACTTATATGTTTATTTAGCAAAAACAATAATAAATAGCACCACTTTACTAAGTGCTTGACATAAACGTTCCTCTCCACACGTATGCTAGTAGTACACGTATAGGTAATTTGTTGGATTCCGATAAGTTTTAAGGTTCCCTACATGTATTATACCGATTTTGTCCTTAGCCGAGTATTTAGTAGCGGTAGTGAGCTGGTTTGTAAGGTCCTTCTGTGGGGATTCCCAGATATCCTGCCTGCTTGTCTGTTAGCGTGGTAATCTTAACTCCAAGATGGTCCAAATGAAGCCTGGCAACTTCCTCGTCAAGCTGAAAAAACAAACGAATTTTGTAAAATTAAATATACAAGTAATTAAAACAACAATACTGCTGTGTTCTTATGTTACTTATTTGAACACTTCTTCCCCNCCAAAAAAAAAAGGCAAGAAAAAATTCTTCCAATGATTAATTCTGTTGATATTTTTAATCGGGCAACTCTCAAGTGTTTGGTCCTGCTAAATCCTAGCAAGTCAGCATTCAAAAGAAAGACAGTTTTTGAGAAAGACTATTGTTTTATTGATGAAATGAACAATAGCCATACCTGAAAAGACCTGTTTACTGGATGATGCCAAAAAGTTCCTGGGTTTCCACTAGTTGATATTTCTTTGGTTAATTTAATTTTACGGCCACCAATTGAAGTCAAAATATCTGGTGCACAAGATTTCCTTTCTCACTTACCTTTTTGGGAAGCATGTATACACCAAGGGGGTAATCCTTCGTCTTTGTCCAAAGTTCAATTTGAGCCAAGACCTGGTTGGTGAAAGAATTGCTCATGACAAATGATGGATGTCCCATAGCACAGCCAAGATTAACCAGGCGACCTTCAGCAAGCAGAATGACATGACGGCCATTGGGGAGGGTATAGCGGTCAACCTAACAAGATAGGGAAGCAAATTTTCTTTAGTACACTTTTGTCCATTTAAAGAGGGCACTTACTTTAATTTAAGAGGCCAACTTTCCTCGCAACTTATTTTTATTTACCACAATTCTCCTATTTAAGTTGCATTCACCTGTGGTTTTATGGAGTCTTTTTTGCAAGTGTCATTGAGCCATGCAACGTCAATTTCACAATCAAAATGGCCAACATTGCAGATGATGGAATCATCCTTCATCTTCATGAAGTGTTCCGAGGTGATGATTCCACTGCATCCTGTTGATGTGACAAAGATCTGTCCCTTGGAGGCAGCTTCTTCCATGGTGACAACTTCATACCCTGTCAAACAAAGAACACACAAATGAATCAATTCAGCTTTCAGTCGCATAGGTCAAGTCAGCGTACAAGCCAAGTGGCCCATCAGGCCAGCGCTTATCTCTGGTTTCTGTAGCATGAAGCAATTAGGAGCATTTCTACTGCCCCCTAGATGGGATGCTAGTACATCACAGGGTTACCCCCCAGTATTAAATTTCCTGATACCCATTTCTATACCTGGGTGGAGAGAGGCACTGTGAGAGTGAAATTTTACCCAAGAACACAACAGCATGTCCCTGGCTGGGGCTCCAACCCGAATGCACTAACCATGAGGCCACCCCACCTCCTTTAGTTAAGCCTTGGTGTCAAAGAAAGTAATTAACTGTCTGTCACAACGTCCTGTGACTGCTCAGGTGTTGACTTCAAAATCAGTTTTTCTTACAAGCAGTTTGTAAAAAGTGCACAAAAAAGGACACAAAGTACAGTTCCACTGATCCGGCCGCAAAAACATGTCAACACCAAAAATCCGTCTTAAAAATAAGTGTAAAAAGTGTGCTTTAGGTGGCTCACTTCATATCCGGGATTTTGGTGAGCCATACTGGAGACATGGAGATTTGGTCTGTGCCAGGGAGAGTACTGGATAAATCTGGGAGAGTTGGTAATGTTACTTGACTGATCTTAACCTACTGCAACCAAAATCACAATATTATTAGCTTTACCTTCCATGGCAGCTTGCAGAGCATTGATTGGATCAATTTCGGTGACCAGAACACGAGCACCAAAGCCCCTCAAGGACTGCACTGATCCCTTGCCAACATCGCCGTATCCAGCAACAACACAAACTTTGCCAGCAAGCATAATGTCTGTTGCTCTCTTGAGACCATCAACAAGAGATTCACGAATTCCATAGAGGTTGTCAAATTTGGTCTTCGTGACAGAGTCATTGATGTTGATGGCAGGAACCTTCAGTTGACCTTTCTCCATCATTTTGTACAAGTTATGAACTCCAGTTGTGGTCTCTTCAGAAAGACCCTTGATACCTGAAATGAGATAGGTGTGTACATGTAAACGTTACGTGGAGTCCAGATTTCTTAATCCCTCAAATATTCCAACCTCCCGTTAACTTAACCAAAAGTTGTCTCTGATCCCTTCCCTCAGTCAAACACTGTAATCTTGCCCCCAGTTTTGCAAACTAGCTGATTTTTCAAACCAATTTTCCAATTCCCTTGGAGAGTCAAAAACACGGGATTCCATTTCATATTATTCTAACATGTACAAAATTAATGTTTTATTAAATTCTATTGATCATAAAGTCAAATAAACAGCTTTGAGGGGAACCATCAGATTTGTTATAATTTTCTTGAAAAGAATGAAAATTTGCAGATCTATTATGAGCTCACATATGGACACTATTTTTCTTGTTCAAATGAATTTCCACCCGTTGTTCCACACCCCTTAAAAATCCCAACAGCAAACACAATGTGGATGTAAAATTACTGGTACATCAAAAATTCTGTTTGGAGGTCCAGTTTAGATCTGAAGACCTGTATTCAATACTGCTGACTCTAGAGGTATTAAATGTAAAACTTAATTGCCAACCTTTCAAGTACTGTGGGTATTTTTCATGAACAAGGTTGGTCAGATCACCACCATCATCAAGGATCATGTTGAGAGGCTCTCCATCAGCGAAGACCAGTGTCTGTTCTATGCACCAGACATACTCCTCGTCAGTCAGTCCTTTCCAGGCGTATACTGGAACACCAGTCTTGGCAATAGCAGCGGCAGCATGGTCTTGGGTAGAGAAGATGTTGCATGATGACCACTGAACCTGTAAAAGAAAAGAAAAAAATAGTTCTTATTCCCATAACGCTGGCAAAATTTACGTATAAAAATGCAGTTGTGAATCGATTTAGTGTCCCCTATCTAATAAGTGCTCTCTTTTGAATGAACCTCCAACAAAATCACACACAGAGATCCAACTTGAAACTAACCTCAGCACCCAGTTCAGTCAAAGTCTCAATAAGAACAGCTGTCTGGATTGTCATGTGAAGACAACCTGCGATTTTGGCTCCCTTCAGGGGCTTCTTGGGGCCATACCGCTTCCTCATTTCCATCAAACCAGGCATTTCATTCTCAGCGAGGATAATTTCTTTACGACCCCAGTCAGCAAGGCTGATGTCCGCTGATAAGAATAAAGACAAATTACTATGTGCAGTTTCAAAAAATAATCCATACCCAGCCTGACCCCATGGGAGGTATTGGAAACTCCAAAGTTGTGGAATTGGGAGGGGTTCAAACCAAAACCCTTCTACGCCATATGAGGTATGGATATTTTCCAAAACAACAATATCTCACTACAGTGTGGACCTGGTAAGATCTCCTCACATTCTATATTCAAAACCTTTAATTTCTCCCAACTTCACCACCATAGTCAAATTTAACCTCCCGACAGAGGAAAATCAGTGTCAACATGATGCCCCTCTCATCCCCTCGCCCTCCTCCCTCCCTCCCTATCCCCACAGCAATATCCCAATATTATTCTTTACCTTGTCAAAAAAAAAAAAAAAACACTAGTGAGACAATCTCAGATAGTGCAGAGTGTAATTTACCGCTCCGATGCAGTAGTCACACAGGTCCTCACCCCTGTTGTTCTCTCCCTTGGTAGTCAACTAGGCCTTTTCCCTTTTGCAGAATATGAGTGGACAAAAACTTGATAAGACATAATCTTAGCAGTGTGTATGTTATACGTTTGTGTTTTGCCCAAAAATAATGAACAATCACTGTTTGTCAAGACAGTTTTAAATTTATTGTGATATTTTATCTCAAGTTTCGTTCATTTTGTAGCATTAGTTTTCACGCCAACGTTTGTAATTTGATACTTTTGTTTTCCTCGCTAATGTATGCAACAAGATACCTTTGTTTCCACGAAAATATAAGGTCACTGCTGGAGATAAATGGAATACAAAAGTCGATGAGGAACGATTTTGCTTTATTCCAAACGTAAATTTTCATTTCACGGATAAACAAGAACTAATCTAATTATCAAATAGTCACGTCGAATCACGGAATAGTGCATTCTAATTCTGTTGCCAGCCAAGTTGGTGTGAATAAAACCACATCAAACTAATACACACTGCTATCGAGTAATACAACTATGGAGCATTTCAATGAGAAGTATTGAAGGTAGAGATCTTTACTTGACCGAAATTATATCCCACATCGGTGAGCAAGTCACCTCATCGACTGATGAAATTAATTGGAGGTTTCAGAAAGTGCCACGAAGTCTGCGGCAATAATAACGAAGTTTCTTTTGTCACAAATTTACTAGTTTTACATGTAACTAATCCGGGAAAGTTTTGGCTGAATATGAACTTTGGGCTCTCTTTCATAGAAGAGGAAACAAACAAACTGCTGAGGAGAAGCAATATGTTCCCATTCTCTATTTCAACCCTGGCAAACACACAATAGTTATAACACGGCAGATGTCATTTCTTGAATCGAGCTAGGGAAGATTCCAGAAGATACACAGTCACAGTAATGTTCTTTGCACTAAAAAAGGAGAACTGACGTTACCTGAAATATAACTGCTATCCCCAGCCAAAACGAGAGTGTGATATCACTTATTACAGAAAATAAAAAAAGCCATGCATCTGAACTCCAGAACGGAATTTACCACACTAGCAATGCTAGAACGCATGCGTGTTACATGTTATGCTCTACCACAAGGGAAAGCACTCAACGTTCGTGGGTAGTCCCGTATGAAATGTATCTTTCACCTAACATATAGTCGACTTTGATGCTAACTAATCTGAGCATGCATTTGGAGCAAACTGTTTTTGTTCTTAAAGTGCCTATGAAGTGAAATTTTTTTGTGTGTGTTTTTCTGTCACTGGTTATGTCTACTTTTCCAAATTGCAAAAAGCGAATAATGTTAAAGAGAGAAAAATTTGACTTTTTGCTGTTCAAAGTTTGAATTTGACAACCAAAAGTGGGTGCATTTTGCGCGCGGCCAAAACGAATGTATTACAATGCCGCGACACAGGAAATTGTTCAGACGACTTCATCGCTACTTTCCGACTCTTGAACATTGGAACTTTCCCTGGAGAACATATATCCATCACTATCTGACATTTTACTTGCAAAAAAATGTTGAACTTTGAAGAAGCCTCCTATGGCAATTCACATAGCTACAGAGGCAAAGTGGGGTAAACAAATCACTTAAACAATTTCCTACGTCATTACTTGTAAACTCGTTGCCGGTCTCCAGAACTACTGTTGTGCTATACTGAGCTCACTTTGGGCAGCAAAAAGTCGGATTTTTCTCTTCGTAACATTATTCGCTTTAGGCACTTTCGAAAAGTAGACATAACAAGCGACAGATAAAGGCAAAAAAAAAATTTCACTTCATAGGCACTTTAAGAGAATGGCACCACAAGGAAAGCATGAGATTTGCAAAGCCATACGTATATATTTTTGTCATGTTATGAAAGAAAGCAACGTAAGTATGATACGTTTTTTGTAATGCACTCGGGTACCTACCCCACCCAGGCCCCCTTCCCACAAGGCTAATTGATTAATTGAAATTAATTAATTAAACAAGCATTAAAGTTTACACCTTAGGGCGTTAGCCTTATGACATTAGTGCGTTAGCGCATTAGCGCTTAGTGCCTTAGCAACTTAGCGAACAGCAGCCCCCTAAACCATCCCAATAGTGCACTCTGCACTAAAAATGGCTCTTTTTCCCAAAGGCCAGCAGCAACATTCAAAACATTTAATGGTTCAAACAGAGCCTACAGAGACTTTATCTATGAGAGTGGGGAGAGGGCAATATAGCATGGTCCCCAGATTATGGAAATATATACAGCTGATGAGGACAAAATTAATTATATGAGGCAACAAAAAACTTGAATAATTTGTCTATGTTACATATTTGAGGCATCTGTCGCCTAACTACCGATAAAACTGCAATGACTTCTGCTCTACTCTCAAAATACGGCCTTTTGCTTTCAACATGTCCTGACGCAACAGTATGGGGTCTAAACAGCAAAAGGATTCGTATAAACAAAGCTCACAAATTATCATACAAACAAGGGTACACTATTCAATGATGTAAGTCCAAATCAAGGCACTCGAGTTTGTATAGATACGATTTAGTTTGATCCTCGTTGAAAACGATAATCAATAATCTACATTTCTTGCAAAACTCGTTCCGAAACGCCGAGGGATCTGTTGGTGCCGCCTCTTGCAAATGTTGCGTAAGCCACTAAACTTGCTTCTACTGGACAGCAGACAAAATCGAACCTCAAAAACGCCTCCAAAATGCTACGATTTCTGTCATTGACGATCGAAGACATAAGTGGCATCTCATCTAATTATCACAAAAAACACGAGGAGCACAACGTATTAAATAAGCTTATGCGTGACTGATGTGAAAGGTTTCTCATGATCACTTGAATTAACAGCGTGGCTCTACGCAAGCGACAGAGGTATCTGTAAACGTGGTTTTCTTTCGACACGTACAAATAAATCTACTGAGAGTTAAAAACCGGTATTCTTTTAAGCGTCAAGTTGTACAATACAGACTGTGCCCGTTTAAAAACAAGGGGGGGTAATGAGGATAAGTATTTCACAATTTGTAAGCTTGACGCAATGACCAGTCGAGATAAAACATTCGAAGGAATGTGGATTGTACACGTGTGGTACATTCGATTACTTTCAAACTTACCGACTTTGTATGGGAGCTTTCCACCGTTCTGCATGTTGAACTTGATTTGGCCGAGGATATCACTACCACTTACAGAAGATACAAATTTCTACCGATGTGGAGAAAAAAAGAGGACGAAATGCGGTTGAAGCATGGTTTTATCCCCGTGACGGCCATATTTGGAAATCTTGAATGTGATTGGCTAACAGATGCAGATGAATGGGGGGTGTTTGTAAGCTATTACAAAACCGGCAAGGAGCCGCGAAGCAAAATTTACATCGATTTACCAGTTTGTATCAATTTTTAACAAGATTTTCGCTTCGCTTGGATGATACTTTTGCTAAATGGGTTTCAGATATTTTAATAGAGCCATTTATGGTAAAGAAACTACGAAAATTATTCAATTGTAAAGATGTACAGCAGTCGCAAAAACCCAGGATTCCTTGGGAAATAACTCGAGTTCAGGCAAGAACTCATCGATGGAAAATAACTGATCACGTGAAATGGGGACACACTTGTCAGCTGATGTAGCGTTGACAAGATTATAGACCAGTGCTAGAGTGAAAGAAAACGTTTCAGTCTGAATTTTCTCCTTTAGAATGTTCTACAGTTTCAAGTGACTGCCACGTCTATTGAATGAGCTGAATGGGTTCAGCAAGTTTTTCCGAAACTCGCAAAACCGGGTTTTCAAAGTTACGACGGGGTTGCGTGATATATGATAATAACATGTTATGGTGCAGTTGCGTTACACTGACTGGCTACGAAGTGTTATATTATAATCCATCAAATTACGGATATCTGCAAATGCTTTAAAGAACTTTTTTTCAGCCTTTTTTTTCAGCTTGAGCGGGTGTCAAAACATGACGGATGTAACCTGCAGTTATCAAGGGGTCGAGCATTTTTTTCTTTCGCGTGGCGGAATGGTCGCGCGGGAACTGGGGGTGATGAAGCAGCTCAAGGGGCAAGGGGAAGCTCACTAAGTCAACCAATGCCTTTTGTTTCTTGTATCGTGTACGTGTGGAGCTCTGCACTCAAACAATTTCTCGATCGCTGTCATGCAAGACCCTTGCTTCTTGCTTTGGCTTCCCAAGGCATTTTTGACGTTTCTGCTTGGCTTTGTGTCAGCTTTCTTTTGGCTGCGAGTAGAGCTGCGAGCACGTCTGCAGGTCACGAGTGGGCAGAACCAGCAGGGATCTCCCGCAGACGTTCTTATATCAGGTGAGTAGTTTCTCTTTTGCTCGAGAATCCGTGGGGACGAACGGCAACGACGCCCGCGCTACTCGCGGCTTCACCGGCCCCTCGCCTCTGTTCGTTTGCGTTCTTCCCCGCGGATTCTCAAGCAAAAGAGAGACTGCTCCCAGCGTAACGCACTTATGGTTTGTCACGCACTCGAGAGACTGCGTGACGAGCCCAAAGAGACTAACGGGAGTTCTTTCCAACATGAAAGAATTATTAAAAAAGACAGGAAAGTCTAATTGTGAATATTTTATTATTTTTTTTTATCCTAAAAACTCTAAAAAGCGGGCTATGAAAATAGACAAATATAAAATGTAAAAATGATTGTATTCTTTTCTTTTTCTTTTTTTTTTGTCACGTCATTGTATGTTAGTCTTGACTGAGAACAAGCGCCTGTCAAGTTTGTCTTACTTAATATCAGGCTTCACGTCTTCTCATACTAGCAATAAACTCAGTTCATTAAAATTTGAACTATTTAGCTCCTATCATCGAATCCATTAGACGAATCCATTAGA